GAAAAGCATTGCAGTTTCTGGTATTAAGGTAAAATGTTGTTCAAGATGGAACTGTCTCAGAAACAGCTGAAACACATCACTGGAGACAGAAGTTTTGAAACTGTCGATCCTAGTGAGCTCTTACCTCATTGAAATGATTGTATGTCAGATCAGAGCATACTAGATTATATCATTATAGTACCGTCTGTTAGTGTTTGCTATAGTTACTGTTAACTGTTGTCTGTTAAATTTTCTCCCCTTTCTTGTTTAATATTTTTCTTGAGAAACTTTTAATGCCCATTTCTTTAAAAAGAGTAGTTTTTATTTAGGGGAGAGGGCTAAAAAAGAAAGGGAGTAATTGAGCAAAGGACTCTGCTTGCCTGTTAGACTTCAGTGTAACTACCTATAATCTGGATTTTATCTCAATGTTAATAAAAATATATCTGGTTCATATCACTAAATACTCGATACAAATAGGAATGTTACCATAAGGTGATACTTTGAGAGTGCCACACTAGTTTGCTGAGCAGAGTGGGAAGTTTATTTTGTATATTTTCCTTATGTCCAGTAACTTCTTGTTCTGGCATTTTGATTCCATGGTGACTTGTTTCTTCTTAATAAATGATAGATTGTATGCATGATGAGGAAATATATCAAAAATCTATGCTGCAGTGCAGTGCTCCCTGAAGGTGTCCTTTGAGTATTACTGCTTGATCTGGAAGCCTTTCTTTTCCTCAGTTATCCTCTGCTAGTACTCAAGTCTTGCCTCTTCTGCAAATTCTAAAAGGCGGTTGTTTCTAAAAGTTGGTTCAAGGCATGTTGTGAGCCTACCACCTTCATGACTGTTTCTCTGCCTTTGGTAGCCCTACAAAAGAGCTGATTTTTCATGATTCTGTTTAATGTTATCCTTGATTTTTAAAAGACAATTTTGGGGGTACAGCATCAAGCAAAATGTTTCCTCCTTCCTTTAAAAGATAAGGCTCTTTGAGAAATGGAATAACCTTCAAAACTTCTCTTTGTTTCTGCATCTCCTGTCATGGAAAGCTGTCTGTAAAGTGGCACAGAAGGAGCAGATCATTATTGTTGGTTCTGGTTTTCAGCATCACTCTGCTAGGGTATGCCTTCCCATCTTGGAAGGCATGATGAGACATCTGCTTTCTTTGCATCAACCAAGATTTCGAAGGCAAGCCAGGCCTGCGAGCACTCACCCAGCTATATCGTTGACCAAGGCTCTTTGGCAGGGAAAGCCCAAGATTGTCCTGGACTCCCCTGCGCAGCACACCTCTGTTTTCAGAAGGTGTCTTCAGTTCTTTTATGGGTAATAGATTCCTTTGTCAAGGAATCTGGCCTCCGTTTTGTTTTCCTAATCGATAAGAAAAGTCTGGATTTGCATATGGAAGTATACTTTAGCTTTCTGATCAATTTTTGTTTAACAAATGGTGAAGCTCTGGATAATTTAGGTGGGCAATGAAGCCCAAAAGGAATCATTGGGTGAAAGAGAAGAGAATAAAAGAAGAGAGAGTGCATCGAAGACCACAGAAAAAAAGATTTAAACAAACTGCTTTTCAAAAGCTGGAGAGCTGTTTTCTCCCAAGCATGCATTTGGTTTGTTGGGTGCAGCATGGACACCACTGGAAATATGTAGATCCTTCTACACCCATACTTACCCCTTTTTCTCATCGTGCAAGACAGAATGACAGTTTTTCTATAGGGGTTCTCACCCTTGAACATGGGTAGATCCCAAAGCAGGGGTGTCGAATTCATCTACCTATGTGGACCAGATGAGTGGTGCAAGGATGGTCCATGGGCCAGATTTGACTCCCTCCCCTTCCTCCTCCTCATTCTCCTCCCCCAGCATACAGGATCTTGCAGTCACTCCATCTGGTCTGGGATCCATGCTGCATGTGGCACGGATCCCAGAATGGTGGGAATGAACTCCGCCTGCAGTGCAGTCCTGCCTGAGCAGCAGCTGTACTGTATGTAGTGGGCACCCATGCACATAGATCCTGCTCCAAGCAGTCCAGGACTCGCACTGCACATAACACCTACAAGCAACATATGCAGCACATTTGGACTGAGGCAACTACCATGTGCAGAGAGCCTGCTAGTGGGCAGACTGCACCATGCCACACCTGTTCTTGCTGCTCAGGAATTTGCGCCATGTCCCATGTGGCATGTGAATCATATGTTTGTCACCCCTGTCCTAAAGATTCCACTGCAGGCTCTGTATTATACAAGTCATGAGAAGCCTGGGTCAGACTGGATCCTAGGCAGTGAGGTTGAAAGGCAAAATTCAGGATGACTATTCTAGCAGTTGCTATTACTGGAATCTTTGTAGATCTTGCAACAAAACTGGACCTGGCAGAAGCTTCTCTGCAAATTCTAATCTGGCCTTGTTACCCATTGTCTTTTCCAAGCAGGAAAGGTTCTTCAAGATCCAAGCAGTGATTTCAGATCCAAGCGTCAACGATTAATAGCTGCAAATAGTTCTGATGGTCTCATGCAGAGATCACTTCATGAAAGAGACTGCACTATTGTTTTAAGAGTTTATATTTGAACTATTATTAAGAATATAATGTTTCTCTCTAGCTTTGAAAAGTACTTATGCAATGATGGAAATGCTGTGTAAAAGTTCTAAACTAGCCTGTCTGATGACTTTAGTAGGAGAGACTTAGTTGAAGAGCATGGGCCTAGGAGGGTAGTTCCAAAATAGGAAAGGGTAGTTCCAAAATAGGAAATTGATGACTAATTTTCTGTTTTGTATTTGTGTTTGAACTATTTTGGGACAGTTCTTCTGTTCTTTTCCATTTTACCCTTTAGTAGAAATTAAATACAAAACTGCATTTGTTTTCAAATCAATCAAAGAATAGAACTTTGATAATTATCAATTTGTCTTCAGCCCATTTTCTACATATTGGTTTTTCTGTCCTGTTCTGTGATAGCTAGACAAAGTATAAAATGAACTTGGGAGTATCTAGACCTTGCCCAGATTTAAATAAAATGAAGTGGTTACAGCTATTCTGCTTAAAGTGGAGACGCAGGGTCTTTAGAGGCTATATATTCAGTTGAAAAGCTCCACATAAATCCAAATGTCCAGGCCATTTTGATTATATCTGAACACTGAAAATATGCTTGCCTCTGTGCAAGATAACAGCTAATGACAGTCCCCTGCCCTGAATGGTTTATGATCTCTGCTAGATAAAGAACTGCAGATTAGACAACTAAAGCAGTGGTTCTCAACCTTACCAGACTCAAGATACCCCTCGTTAGATTTGGGGCATCCATCAAAGAATGCCAGCTCTTAGCTTTCTCCAGTGTTTTTTGCTTACAGAAAAATAACAAAGCAATTTTTCTTTTGCAAAGAACTCTGAGAGACCACAGCTGGTCAGCATGTTTCTGACACCGGATTCCTATTTAAAATCTCTGGGTTTATCTTGTGAATTATGTAGGTGATTTTGTGGTTTTCCATAGCACTGTTCAGAATCTCTTTGCATCCCAGGATGCTTTGGTTTCCTAGTTGAGAATTGCTGATCTGGGTTTCCACTTGCTTGATTTCCATGATCAAGATGGGAAAAGGTGTGGGTTGCTATAGAATTCCCTAGACCATATTTAGGGCTCAGATTAGAAGGTCCAATTTGTACATTAATACATCTCCTTCCCTCTGTCAGTAACAAGTCAGTAATTTCTAGAATTGCAGTAAATTGTAAGGTTTATTGCTAAAACCATAAAGGGATAAAGTCTTATTGGTATTGCCCCAATCAAATAGTAGACTTAGGTCAACAGGAGGAAGACCTTAGAAATTTTTAAGAAACTCTCCAAAAGTCTGTTTGATTCTAATTTTATTTTCTGCTGTACAGAATTTAAAAAATTACTCGAAGTAAAGGGAAAAAAGGTGGTAAAAACCCCTAATGCATATAATATGGAAGAATACTATATTTGGCACAGTTTCAATCCCATAATTATTATGTAATGCTTTTTGTATTTGCAACCAAACATACCACATAACTAGTCTGCTTACCTCATTTACAGTGTTAAAATCACAAAAGATGATAAATAGTTGTGTTTAGTATATCTTTTTTATAAAAGACCTCTGCACGTCCCTAAATGGTTAAAAATTCCATTGAAGACGGAGGCTCATGTTTCTTAAGTTGACATTTGTCATTGAAAGGTGCATTAGCTTTATCCAGTCACAGAGGAATTCTTTGTACCTCTGTCCCAATGTCTTATCAAAACTTTTTTTAAAGGAATGTCTTCAAGAAACTATTTTAAAAGTACTTAGTTGCATAAGAAATTACATTTATCTTGTTTTCCTTTTTTCCCCATTGCATCTCAAAATAAATAAAACAAAGCAAGTGTTACTTTTGATACTGAATATTAAAGTGCTCAACCAGTCAGGTAGTTAATGAGAACTATTTGGATAGTCCCACTTCAGATGTTCTGTTTTTGCACAATGCTACATTCACACAAATAATAACTGTAAAGCAAGGAGGCTCACATGTCTAAAATGTCTTTTCAACTAAAAAGAATATTTAAAATGTGAGGAGCAGCTGAGCCAAAACCTTCTAAATAGATTATTTATGTTTTCCCCCCCAAATAGATGGAGTCTGCACGCAAAGCATGGGAGAATTCTCCAAATGTGGGGGAGAAGAGTTCACCAGTAACCTCAGCAGCATCTCCCATCACTGGTAGCAACAGTGGCAGTAGTAGCAGTAGCAGTGGACCAAGCAGTGGTAGTTACAGCTCTTTCTCAAGTGCATCAATGCCTCCTATTCCTGTGGCATCAGTTACACCTACAACTTCACTCTCAGGTACAAGTACTTTCAGATTGACTGTTGCATTGCCCATTTTGCCAAGTTTGTTTGTTAACTTTTGATTATGTCTCCCTTGTTTTGAGAGAGATTCCCCTTTTGGAGGAATGTATACAACTTTCATTAAAAGTGAGAGGAACTGTACTCCAGTGTCTGGCCAGAACTAGGGCTCATCAGAAAGCACTACTGGAAGAACTTTGTTCCCATATAGTTTCACTGGACAGCCTACTGAATAGAATGCTGGGATAACAAGCTGGAATATGGAAACTTATCCCTCCTTCTCTTTAGCTAACCATACAGAAAATGTAATGAATAAAAGTGGCTTTCCTGCTCCTAATTTTCACCCAGCTGGCCTTGGAGAAGCGAGAAACTAAAAGCTTCAGAATTCCCCCAGATACCACAAAGTTTTCAGTGTTTGCTTTGCTTTGCTTTGCTTTGTGTTGCTTTACTTTAAAGTAGCATCTGAAGGGCTGAACTGACATCGAGCCTACCTATATCAGACATAATAATGCTGTCTCACAAGGTTTCCATATAAAAAGTTTCTCAACTTCTTTGCCCAAGCATTAACAGTAATGTGTCTGATCCTACTGCATTTCACTTGAGAAAATGATTTAACATTTTATCAATTAAATGTCAGCTTGCTTAAGCTATAGCTAATAACTTAATGTCCAGTGTTGTGCATTGCATACTCCTTTTAAAGAGGAGGAAGCATTTAGGGTGCTCTTAAAACTTTTATTTTTTTTTTAAATCCTATCTTAACTGACTGGTGATATTGCCTCTAGCCTTTTCTGTAATTTACTTCCTTGGTTCTTGATTGGAATAAATATAACTGATTACATAAGTATTTATTATTACCTCGTATCAGTAGTAGTCCATACTTCCAGAGTTATGCTAAAATGTTGATGTTCTCACTAAAAACTAGACCATTTTAATTACTGTTTCAGATAAACCATTTATGGTACCTGATGCCTCCTTTTTTTCTTCTATTCTAGGAGCTGGAACATACACAACCTCTTCACTGAGTACAAAGACTACAACCACCTCAGACCCACCTAATATATGTAAAGTGAAACCACAGCAGTTGCAGACAAGCAGCCTTCCTTCAGCCAGTCACTTTTCCCAGCTAAGCTGCCTGCCATCCCTTATAGCCCAGCAGCAACAGAGTCCACAGGTCTATGTGTCTCAGTCTGCAGCAGGTAATAGTGTATGATTGGGAAATAAGTGTGTTTGCCATGGAGTTTACTTAAGTATGCTGATAGGGCTTTTTAAAAATGCATCTGAATACAACTCTGAAGCTAGCAAATTCAAATAAAGGCTTTCCTGCCTGCAGCAAAAACAGAATGATACTTAATTATGCATTGATATGGCTCTGTCTATATGCTGTGGTCACATGCTACCCTTAAGTATGTATGTGGAATAGTGTAGAAGATGGAAAAAATATCTTCTGAGCTTTTTTATTTTAAACCTATTTTTATTTAAAACTCACTAGTCTTTCTTTAGCAAAGTTACTTTTTTGTGAGACTGCTATTTAGCCATTAAGAAAGCAACTTTTTCCCTTTATGCTACAAGTTAACATGCTTTAAACAAATCTAAACAAGGCATTTAATGGGTCTCCCCAGAATCCAGGATGTCAGGATTCATAGCCACAGCTAGCTTTGCAGAAACTCTAAGGGCAGTTAAGGACCAAATTCTTTTCTTTCTGAAAACTTCCCCAGCCCTTCCTTATGGCAGTTTGACCAGTAGTCAACATATGCTTGAAAACTTGTTGCTCTTTATCTGGCTGCTGTTCCAACAGTAGACGTTAAACCTGCCCAGAAGGAAAATATTTAGCATTCAGATACTAATTTTCTTATTTTTCTGAGGTCCTGCAGCTCAGATCCCAGCTTTCTACATGGACACAAGCCACCTATTCAATACCCAGCATGCACGTCTGGCTCCACCTTCCCTGGCTCAACAGCAAGGCTTTCAACCAGGACTTTCGCAGGTATTTGGAAATTCATCTCATTTGGACCTTCATTTTAAAGCTGTCATAACTGGAGCACAGTTGACTGCGGGGGAAGAGTCTGAAAATATGAAGCTACATTGCCTTTCCCACCTTTAATTCAGCCTGCTGTGTAATACAGCCTTATCTTACATTTAACCTTCTTGTGAACAAAGCTTTCTTTGTAGAAATGTTCCAAGAGAAGCTTAATCTTAAAAAATGTACTTCATACAAGAGCAAACATTTATGCTAGAAATGTTCATATGGCTGCAAGATGGGCTCATTGTCCTTGAGTACTATTATGGATTGACTTCCTACAGTTAAAGTTTTGTCTGTATGATTATAGGGAACAATGCTATAGAGTCTTTAATTTTAAAGCAGGGATCAGCAATGTATGGCCCATGGAGCCATTGGCTGCGGATCAGTCAGGGGTCTTTGGTGCCTGCACCATGAGCAGCAGGGAGCTTCCACTGCGCTGTGCTACACTGCAACCAGGAGGCTGGGAGAAATAGTGATGACTAGCTCCTAGTTACAGCCTGCCTTGGACCCAAAGAGTCATTCTGGCTCACTCCTGGAAAATGTTCTTGACCATTTACCTAGAGCATGATTCTTAGTCACCTAACCTCTATTTATGGACTTAAAGCTATAATAAATTAGCTGGCCCATTTATTGCAATTTGTTCTACTGGCTAATTACCTGTCACTGTTTTTAAAATTAATCAATTCCAATTCAGTTCTTTTAGCCTTATCTTCCAACCCCTGGATCTTTTGCATTTCCTTTGTCAGGTGGCTCTTGCATATTAATTATTGGTTTCATTATGGAATAGAATATATACATGGTTGGAAACAGTCCAATAAACCTGGGAAACTTTGAACTGTTGAAGCTATTATGTTTTGCTCAAAATGTCTCGGGTTTGATTTTAAAATGCTTTCAGGATTGATTTAACTTCTGACTTCTATTTTAACTGGGGTTTGGTTCTTGGACTGCTATCACAAAGCTGGGACTATAAGTCTGTTGCTTCTGAGACAGGCTCCTAAGGCCTTGGGAGTGCAGTAGTAGAGGTAGCCTGGGATTCCCAGATGGAGCAGGTAGTCTTCATGGAGAGGCTACTTCAGAGCCACAGACTCTTACAGCTCCATGAGCTGCTCACTGAAATTGGTCTTAACAATAGCAGTTGTAACTGACTGCCTGTTTTATAGAGCTACAAAAAAACTAGAACTCTTGATTCTATAGTTTTATAGAGCAGGTTTCAGGCCCCAGGGAGTATATTTCATTTTGGAAATGGCAAGTCAGTGTAGCCCCAACTTTTTTCTTTTTCAGAATTTCTGATTTACTGGAAATTTTAAGATGGGTTTTGTTCCCATTTGATCCAAAACAAAACTTAATAAAACAATTTTTCAAGACCTTGGAAAACAAATGAAATTGGAAATTGGCTATTTCAGTCAGCTGTAACCAGGCTTTGCTAATGCTGTAGCTGGAACGCTATTCCTGAAATGCAGGGCCAGATGCTTGATCCTCAGATAGTTTAATAAATAAGTTATGGGTTGTATTAGCGCTCTCAACTAAACTGCACACATTGCATGCACTTAGTGCATATTTAACAGGGGAAAAAATGACTGAAGTCTATTGTAAGCAGCCAATAAATCTTGTTTCTTTTGTGGCTGCTTTTTCCCCTCTCATGAAAAAATCAGTGGTTTTAAATCTACAACTGTCATGCATAATAAGGCATGTGGAAATCGTGCCAAAGAAGAATAAATTAAAAGGTTTAAATTTCTTAAAATATGTGCTCAAATATTCTTACAAAAGACATCCTTAGAAACCAGGGTAATATGCAAATGTTGCTTTCCTTGCTGTCAAGTTATTAATTGCATCTAGTTTCAGTTTAGAAAATTCTCTGTGCAGTATTTGGTATTTGATATGCAACTACTTTTTAGTCTCCCATTTTTCAGTTTGATCCATATTGAAAACGCTGGTACACGTTAAGTGTAGGACATTTTCTGTAAAGTTTTGACTAGCAAAATATCATCTACATGTGGAGTGTAACTACCTGTTTTTATCACAGCCTGCTTCCGTTCAGCAGATACCAATCCCCATCTATGCACCTCTGCAAGGACAGCATCAAGCCCAGTTGAGTTTAGGAGCAGCCCCTGCTGTTTCTCAGGCTCAAGAATTATTCAACTCCTCTTTACAGCCCTATAGGTAAGTGTTTTGCTTGAATGAGAAAATAGGACATGAGATCAGTCTATGGTGGTGAAAAAAATCCCATCTTGTCCCTCCACTCCCTCAATACATAATAATTTTCAAATGTTAGTCTCGTTCAAAGTAATATTGAAGTCTAATTTTAAAAATCTTTGTAAATGGTTGAACAAGAATCTAGTAATAAAACTTGACTTGTACATAATGGACCAGCAGATAACCTTTTTTATTTCACAGCGCTGCAAACTCTTTGGCAAATTACAATGTTGTTATTTCCATGGAAATGACAACTATTTTTTGAAAATTACTGTAAGAGAAGTGTGTGCGCTGTCTTGAAAACATCTGACATCCTGTAATCCACAACTGATTCTCCTGAGCACTTCATTTTGGGGGTCTTTTGTATTGGCTTCATAGGAACTCATTCAGCCCCCACATATGTGCAGGAATGGAACTCCTGTTCAGTTCTGTCTTGTGCTGCAGTTTATAAACTAACATTAGGAGTGAGGTTTAACTGCATTTTAAGTGTGACTTTTAAAGAGACAGAATTAATTTAAAGGAAGACTTCTGAGAGTATTTCTTTTAGATGTAGAAATTGTACTTGAACTCTTCCATTCTGAAGACAGCCATCCAACTAGAATAAATCAGTTCTTAATAAAACAAAAGTAAATATTTCCAGGTGGACTGATAAGCCAAACTCCAGTGTTTAGTTGCTGAATGAGAGAGGATGATGCAGGGGAAAAATATATGTATAATACATTTAATATTAAGGACTATGGTCTTGGCAATCATCTCAGCCTTTTAGATTATTGTCAAAATATTAGTTGTTAAAAAGTAACTGCTGACATCCACATATTCAGCTGAAAATATTAAAGAGCTGTCACAATTGCTGTAGTGAGGTTTTTGGAAAACCTTGTGGCCAAGAGAACAAAATGGTTTATTTCCTGGTCAAATATTGCCATTAAATTATGTTGTACTTGCTTCCCTGCTGCCTGACTGTATAGCAGAAGTGAACAAAATATGGCCTGTGGGCCAGATCCGGCCCACCAACTGATTGAATCCAGTCTGTGGGGGGTGCCTGCCAATTGGTTGGAGCCAGCCCGTGGCTGCCCCCATGGTGCTCTGTATGGGGCTGAGCCCCACGCACTTTGCCCGAGGCAGCCCATAATGCAGTCCTGCCAGTGCTCTTCAGATGGTCCAAGCCCTGGCCAGTGTACACAGCTTCTGGGGGGCGGGCTGCTCCCAGTGTGGCTGCAGCCACCCAGGTGCTACTTGGCTCCCCCCACCACTTCTTCCTGCCCCTCCCGTGCCGCTCTGGGTTGTGGGGAAGCTACAACTGAGCGGTTTCTGCTTCAGTGAGTGGGGCTCCAGCTCCCAACCACTTTCCACCCACTTGGTCCCCCACAGGTAGCGGCTTATGATACCCAACTGGTGGATTTGGGTAGAAGACAACCTGGAGCTGCAGCTCCCCCTGAGCTCCCCTCCCTCCCCCCCAGCAGTGCAGCAGGGGCAGGAAGAAGAGCAGCCACTGGAAGGAGGGGGGGGGGGGAGCCAAGCAGTATCTGGGCAGCTGCAGCCACAGTGGGAGCAACCCCACCAAGAAGCTATGTACACGGGCCAGGGGTGGGAAGGGGCAGGGTTTGGCCTCATGCAGAGTGCAGCAGGGGCACTTGCAGACTACATGGGTGGGGGGCAGACTGTACCTGCCCTGTACCACCCTGGTAAGCTCTGCTGTACGTGCTGTCTGCACCCCCTCCCTTTCTCCCTCTCCCCACCCCTGGACAGCTCTGGGCACCAAGGATGCAGGCAAGCCCCCGAAACGCACACAAGCGCATGCACACACAATATATAAAGTAAGACTTTATTTTGAGCTATTACGCAATTGCCTTTATATGCACTACTCAAACACAAATCAAGATATTTTAATAAAATTAAAATATATCTATAATTTAACAAATTATAGATTAAAATTATAAATTATATCTTCTAAAAGATTTTGTGCATTACCCTTGACAGCTCACCAAAACTTGTTAAGTGGCTCTCCAGCCAAAATAATTTCCCACCCGTGCTCTTCAGCATAGAGACCAAGAGCAAACTCTGCTTTCAAGCAAATGTATGTATGTTGCATATGGCAGTGCAGTTAGTTAAAATGTTTCTGGGCGTTCTTAGTACCTCTGTTTAAAATGGCTTAATATACCAAAAAAAGTGTAAGGCATTTAAGTTCTTCACTAATAAATTATGAAGTCCAGTTGTGTTTCCCTAAATTGGAGGCCAGCAGCTCACAGTATTTTCAAAGGGAATTGTTGTATATATAGCAGCAGTTCAAAAAATCTTCCCCCTCCCAAGGCTAGTAGAAATGTGAAGTCTAGTTCTAGTACAAGTGAGCATAATAGATATTTCTGAATCTAGAGGTTATTCTTCTTTGTGCTTGATACACAGCCTGATCTTTTGTAGGTCACAGCAGGCTTTTATGCAGAGTGGTCTTTCTCAGCCATCACCAGTAGTTCTGTCTGGCACAGCTTTGCACAACTTCCAAACAGTGCAGCACCAGGAACTTGCCAAGGCACAGTCGAGCCTTGCATTCCAGCAGACTTCCAACACTCAACCTATTCCCATCTTGTATGAACACCAGCTTGGTCAAGCTTCAGGACTAGGAGGCTCTCAGCTTATTGATACACACATCCTCCAGGTACGGAGCTTTTTGATACTGGTCTTATTGGTGAAGATAATGCAAGACTGAACCAATGGCGGGGGGGAGGGTTCTGATGCTTTAGTATTGTAAAATGCAATCTGTTAAACGGTATACTGTCCAGACTTCATAGTTTCATAGTCGGTAGGGTCGGAAGGGACCTGAGCAGATCAAGTCTGAACCCCTGCCATGGCAGGAAAAAGTACTGGGTTCAAACGACCCCAGCAAGGTGTTCGTCTAACCTCCTCTTAAAGACCCCCCAGGCTAGGAGTCAGCACCACTTCTCTTGGAAGTTGGTTCCAGATCCTAGCTGCCCTGACAGTGAAGTAGCACCTCCTGATGTCTAGCCTGAATCTACCCTCTGCCAGCTTGTGACCGTTATTTCTAGTCACTCCTGGTAGTACTCAGGGGAACGGGGACTCCCCCAATGCCTGCTGGTCCCCCTTGACTAGTTTGTAACAGGCCACTAGATCCCCCCTCAGCCTTCTCTTGTGGAGGCTAAACCTGTTCAGGTCCCGTAGCCTCTCCTCATAGGGCCTGCCCTGCTGCCCCCTGATCATGTGGGTGGCCCTCCTCTGGACCCTCTCAACACTGTCCACATCCCTCCTGAAATGTGGCACCCAGAACTGGGCGCAGTACTCCAACTGCAGCCTGACCAGTGCTGCATAGAGGGGGAGGATCACCTCCTTGGACCTGCTTGAGATGCATCTGTGGATGCATGACAAGGTGTGGTTGGCCTTCCTGACCGCGTCCCCACGCTCGGCCCATGTTCATTTTGGCATCAGTAATGACAGCAAGATCCTTCCCAGCCTGTAGGTCTGCTGCTGGTTCTTCCTCCCCAGGTGCAGCACCTTGCACTTGTCAGTGTTGAAACCCATCCTGTTCTCATCTGCCCACCCCTGTAACCTGTCTAGGTCCGATTGCAGCCTATTCCTCCCTTCTAGCATGCCCACATCCCCCCACATCTTAGTGTCATCAGTAGACTTGAACAGGGTGCTGTTTACCCCCTCGTCCAAGTCGCTGATGAAGATGTTGAACAGTGCATGTCCGAGGACCGAGCCCGGGGGAACCCCACTGCCCACATCCCTTCAGGTCGAAAATGACCCATCCACCACCACTCTCTGGGTGCGGCCCTCCAGGCAGTTAGTGACCCATTTGACTGTGTAGGTGTCGACGCCACAGTCCCCTAGTTTTTTAATGAGAATGGGGTGAGAGAGTGTGTCAAAGGCCTTCCTGAAATCCAGAAAGACTACATCCACTGCTACCCCTGCGTCTAAGAATTTTGTGACCTGGTCATAGAAGGCCACCAGGTTGGTCTGACAGAACCAGCCTCTAATGAACCCATGCTGGTTGCCCCTAAGCACAACCTCCCTTGCTGACCCCTCGTAGACATGCGCCAGGATAACGCATTCTCTCAAAAAGCTTACCCAGGATCGAGGTAAGACTAACTGGCCTATCGTTTCCTGGGTCCTGGCCTCTAACTAGTATGGGAACATCGGCAGATCCCAGATAGCCAGATAGGTTTTCTGAAATTGTATGCGTGAAACTGAAGGCCTTCATAAAACCAGTTTTTACCTTTAGTTTGTTAGGCCCACCTCCATAGTAGTTATGTGACATTGATACAAGATAACAGGGACTTTTAGTGGTTCCTTCATAGCATCTTTTTCACAGCATCATTGTGTCTGCCATTGTAACTGGTCTCCACAGTCAGATGTGCCTCTAATTCTGTGTGTGGTATTTTGTTAGTTCTTATTGTATTCATTGTGCAGGAATATTCTGCTTTTGGATTTTAAGTGGAAGTAGAAACTTCACAAATTTGAAATTCTTAGTTTTTCAATCTTTTTATGATGTAACAACTTAAGCAAGCTGACTTAAAAGCCAGAATAATATGCCATTTTTTAATCATTTTTCTTAATTATTATTTTAGTGATGTGTTTGTCTATTTCTCTCTTCTTAGGCCCGAGCTACTCTCACCCAGGCTTCAAATCTATATTCTGGACAAGTTCAACAGCCTGGTCAGAGCAATTTCTATAATACCGCTCAGTCTCCTAATGCTCTCCAGCAGGTAAACTATGGCATGGTAAATTTCCTAAATTGTATTTTCTTACTACAAGCATGCTATTGTTTATAACTGGTGTTATGAGCTATTTTTCTTGGGGCAGTTAAAAACATTTCTTTGTTGAATAAAATTGACCTATTATTAAGTCTTGCTGATTTTTTTTTTTTCAGTTACATAGTTCTAAGATCATGCCCTTAACTGAAAATTAGCAAGACTTAACGATAGGTATGAGTTCGAATATAGTTTATTTTTAATCTTAATTGCTTGGAACTGTGGTAGAGAAGGTTTCCTACGCAGTTAAAGCTCTGAATGGCAATAGGAGAAATAGCAGTAATTCCTGGGGAAGAGGAGTACCTTTTGTCTTCAATGTGGGCATGCATTACATGTCAAAACATCCTACTTACCAATGACACATTTCATTGATTTGCTGAAACTTCAGACTGGTTATAGTTGTGGAGAGAGAAGTGTGCACTCCAGTGTGTAAAGACTGGGAATGTGCCAGCAGTTGTCAGCAAACATAGTCTGTCTGGTTAATCCAGTGATCCTAGGACATTCCCAGATTTGAATGTTTATATAAAATGTCAGTGACCTAAATTGATAGGATTTATTTTTTAATTATAACTGGTTTGCTTTTTGCAAGTAAGCTAGTATGTTTGCAAATTAGATACTGATTCATGTTTTTAAAATGTTACATTTTGATATTTTAACATTTTTATTGAATTAGTTTGACTGAATGTTAAAGCTGTCAAACAGTATGCATGAGGGGCACTAGTAAAATGGCATATTTTAAATCCTATTGAAATAGTGCAAAATGCAGAATAGGGTAGAGAAGTAAAAGTGAATACCTTCTCCAAATGGAAAATCTTGGCATTGAATTATTTTCTTTGCAACTTATTTGCATACTACTGGTAAAGGAGTTTAGGTCTGATGTGATCAGTGCTATGCTGCTTGGAGCAAATCATTTCTTTAAGTGTAACACTGGATTACAGAGAATATTATATCATTCATACATACAAAATATACATCATTACAGAGAATATTACATGATTACAGCAATTAAGATTAAAAAGGAATAACGGGTGTAAACTAGTTCAGGGGATTTAGGTTACATATTAGGAAGAAATTTTTCACAGTAAGGGTGGCCAGGATCTGGAATGGGCTTCCAAGAGAGGTGGTGCTATCACCTAGCTTGGAGGTCTTCAAGAGGAGGCTAGATAGTCACCTGTCTGGGGTCATCTGACCTCGGTCCTCTTTCCTGCCGGGGGCAGGGAGTCGGACACGATGATCCATTGTGGTCTCTTCCGACTCTACAATCTGTGAATTCTTTGAGGTCCTCAGAACACAATATGGCAATTTTTCATGCCTGTATTAATGGGGAATAGACCATAAAATGTAAGCATTATAATAGTTGACTTCTCTACCTTTTTCAAATGCTTACTGCTTTTAAATAGCTGTTTGTGCAACTGGTTATTAATCCCTATTAATAAAAAGTATGTCATAGGTGACATGACATCAATAGACAGTCTAGTTTTTTCATTCTAAAAATTTGTTGCCTTGAGCTTTTTGAAGAAGAATAAAATCTAGCTTTACCTGGAAGCCATTTTGATTGTTTGAATATTTTGACTGAATTATCATTTTGTTGGGTTTTTTTTTAGGATTAAAATGATCCTGTTTTTACTGGGTTGAATTATTTGACTTTTTTGTCCCTTTGGAAGGTTGTTTAAATGATAGTACAGTTATTACCCAATGTACAGCTTGATGCTTTTTAACCGTTTCCTGAAATGCAAATACCCAAATACTTCAACTAATGAGTTATGAAATCCGTCTATGTAATGAATTCTGAGACCAATTTAGCTGCATTTCTATGGGTATTGTCAATAGCTTTATTCCTTAGTCAGGATAATTATCGTCTTAAAATAATGGAACTTGTATGAAAGTTACTGATATTTTCATATTTTTCCCCCAGGTAACTGTACCTTTACCAGGATCACAGCTTTCTTTGCCCAACTTTGGATCCACAGGGCAGCCTCTAATTGCTTTACCACAGTCACTACAGCCTCCACTGCAGCACACACCACCCCAGGCTCCGGCTCAAAATCTTAGTAGGCCTGCACAAGTAAGCCAACCTTTCAGAGGATTAATCCCTGCAGGAACTCAGCACAGCATGATTGCTGCTACTGGAAAGGTAAATTATTTAAATTTGTGCAACAGTGAAAATGACTAATATACGCTACTTTCATAGTATCCAGAAGTGGTGAGCTTACTGCAAGGGTTTTTTGGAACTAAAGTCCTTGTCCTAATGATTTTAGAATGTAGCTTTACACATGGTATGACAAGGAAGGAAAGTAGCAAATAGGGGAAAGGACAGTGATTCACCTCCACTCAGGACATCCTTCTTCTGACAAGACTCTTGAGAAATCTGAACAACTCAGCTGATTTATTTCCTTTCCTTTGAGAGCTTCCTGGCCCACTTTAGATACAAATGGGATGTATTAACAAGGGCAAATGGGTCTTGGACACACGATCACACCTGGAGGTACCGTCCTGCTCCTCTCAGTGCCTGCCTCCCAACACTCCTTTACCATCCCTTTTCAGGGACCTTTTTCATAATATCCCCTATTTGCATCCTAGTCCCAAAGAGACATCCAGTAAATGAAATTCTTTGAAATTTGGTGCCTTGCTGCACATTCCACAACCAGTCTTCTTCAAAGTCCTGCATGTTTAGAGTTCCATGGTTTAAAGGAGACTGAGGTGTGATAGGTGCACTCCACCCTTGTGACCTTTGCTGCAAAGCACAAGGAGCCCAGTGGGCTTGTGTATGCTCTAGTGATGCTGCTTGCCAGAAAAATCTTCAAGCTTGGGCACATGAGATGCCTGTGTTATCTTTTGGATTCAACATCTATTTCATGCTTACCTGCTGTTAGGGCAGGGGTGGGCAATTATTTCAGGCGGAGGGCCACTTACTGAGTTTTGGCAAGCCATCAAGGACCACATGACAGGCAACCAGGGGGCAGCTAAATATTAATTTTCTAAATTTTTTAGGGGCCCCGCAGGCCGGATAGAATGGCCTGGCAGGCCGCATTTTGCCCACCCCTGCGTTAGGGGGACTGGACACTGATCAGGTACCCCCTTCAAATTTTGTTTGTTCCCATTTGTGTCAACTGCAATATGCAAATGTATAAGACGTCTTGCAGATCTCCAGTAACTGTAAGGTAACCTCTGTTATGCTAAATTTTAATTGTGGTTGAGAGGAGATTGACCAGTGAGACCAGTCCAGTCACAACTTGAAAGCTTTATTAGGATACACAGTAACAAAGACTTATTTGCATCAATAAAGGCAGTGCTTATGTAGCCTTGGATCCAGGAAAGAAATAGGTCCGCTGTCCAGGCTTCTGTTTCATTTGGGACTTGAGTTGGTTTGCTGAGCTCCGGATAGGTCCAAATTTTGATGTTCAAAAGTAAAAGTCTAGTCTAGCTATTTCAAGTATTTAAAGATGTCTGGTTTTAGAAACTCGTAGAACAGGATTAAACTAGATTTCTTGTGGACCCTGGAAGGTGTTAGTTGGGATTTATATCCCTGTGAAAGCAAATGGAGCAACACGTTTCACGCTGCTCTGTTACTACTTCACCTTTGTTTACAGTCTAACGAGGCTGCTTTGTTTTTTGCAGTTTATCTAAACGTTCTAACAAAAACACAGCAAAATAACACTTGGTACATTTGGCTACATTAATTACTACTTGTAAGATTTTAAGATAAAACTATAATATAATGTATTTAGCCTATTTGACCTATGGTTCTTCCTTGTCTTTGTGTTCTGTTTGATTGTGTCTAGTTAAATATATGGATGGCTTCCTTTACTTTGCTGACTGAGCCTTTTGCTGCATCTACAAAGGTTCATGCTCCAGTCACTTGGCTGCAGGCTTTTGAGGCCTTCTGTTTCAGCTACAGTCCTGTAGCTTTGGCTTGGACCTCTTGAAAATGGCCATTCCTGGCAACAGCATATCCAAGGCTTACACTGCACAGGCATGTTATAGGGCCTACAACCTCTTAAAAAATAAATGAATAAATAAACCTAGAGCAGTCCATATGGGAACAGGAGGTTCATGATTATGATACTACAAAACCTTACATCTTTTGTCTAGAAACCACAGTAGTAAATAAAAGATGGAAATTATTCTGATCATATGTCCACCAATATCTCAGATAGCAGTGGTCTTGATCCAGACTGTTTTCTGAGGCAGGGCCACAATTGGACCACAGGGATCCACTGTTCCCCTATGAATCTAGATCTTCTACTGCCAAATGACATGTTACTTCTTGCTTCCAGTATATTGGATATTGTATCATGTCCTTATTTTTTAGAGTTACCTCTCTGTAACTGGATTATTTTGTGGAGCTCTTCATGTCTGCATAAATTAGAGCTGGACTGGAACATTGAAGCTCAAGATGTGTTGGTCGGCTTCAGTCTGAGAGGGCTAAATAATGTAATTTGCAGCCAAGAGTCGAGGGCCGAAAACCTGGAGGGATTCTGGACTTAATTTATTATATAAGAAGCTAGAAATCCTAAAAGTTTGAAATCCCAGGGCAAAAAGTAAAAGTTCCTTGTGGTGAAGGAATTGCTCTTGATGCGTGCCCCGGGTAGGAGGATCTCATTGTGTTAAAAGTTCTTGTACTGGTTTGTTGGGTTTTTTTTACTACTGTTTTTTCTTTCCAGTGGATATATTTGGGTTAAACTATCAGTGCAAGATAGTTGATAGATATAATTTAACTTTGCCATTATTATGAAAATAGCATTTGTAAACTCTGTATTTTCTTCTTCAGATGTCAGAAATGGATCTGAAGGCCTTTGGAAGCGGCATTGATGTTAAACCAGGAACTCCTCCAGTTACTGGTAGAAGTACCACTCCAACCTCCAGTCCATTCCGGTAAATAAGCCATTTTAAACTCAGATTTCCTCTAAATTAGTCTATTGTGAAGCAGTATTTGTAGTTTGTTCATGGATGAGTAGCCAGTTGCCAGTCCTTGTTCAACTACTTGATGCTTTTAGGGTCAGGTTACTGGGCTAGATAGCCCATGTTGTATGGTAACTTCTTTCAGCTCTTTTGAAAGTGATGAGAGTTAAGAGGCTAGTGGTGCTTCTAAATTACACCATTTAATTAGCAATCTTAACATAAAAAAAAACATTCCAATATGTTATCAGTCAGACCAAGTGAAGTATGACTCCCAAAACCAAAGAACCTTGACTCCAAAACCTTAAAATTGAATGCTTTAATTGAAATTAGAATGGAACTCTTAAAAATGAGTAATGGATGTAAAAACAGCTGATAGCAAAGGCCTGCCTTAGGGTAGTGCCTAGAGTAAGTTCTTCAAAGATGTTGCTTTGTTAGCTTCACTGAGAATAGTAACTGCCTCTGCAGTGCATAAACTAAAGCACGTGCAAGTCACATTTCAAAGAATGAGTATTATGGCAACATCACTGAAATGTTAGTTTGTAAATATTGTGCGATTACTGTTCTTAAAACTTGGAAATAAATACATACACAATTTGCTGGCCTATTTGGCTATAATAGGAAAGAGTTAAGTAGAACTTTCCTGGGAAATGTATAAGTCGAATTTAACGTTGCTGATGCAAAATATTCTTTCTTGATGTGCCCACAGTATTGCTTGAGGGGGTCAACCTTTTAATTAGGCAGAACAGGGTAGAGAACAAAGCATACTGATTTATCAGTGCATATTAGAAGTGCCTGGAAATCAGAGAAAGGACTTTAGTTTGCATAGCTCTTAAATTAAAGACAGTTTAAGTATTTCATCTGATATGTGACAATTTGGACTTCCACAATAGTTGGTAGAATTTTCGGATTCCTTTGATATCCAGGAGATGAAGATTGCAATCATTTTCAGACCACACCTCACCATTACTCCAGAGGAGGCAGAGATTTGGGTTTTCCAAAGTCTGCTTTTTCAATTAATGGGCCTTTAAATAGGTCATGTTGTAACCCAGCCAGATTGCACCTGGAGTGAGAAGAGCGTGTTTTCAGAAACTCTAAGAAGGCAATGACTTCTGCAGGCCCTAAAGTCAGAAATGGATGCAAAAATAGAGCTAGAAAGTTCTGAAGATTTCAGTGGACTATAAAGTGCACTTGAGGACTACAAATCATAGTTGAGATTCATTTTTGGACAGTGTTCACTACATTTCACCTGCAGCTGCACTTGATATTTTGTGAATCTATGCTGTTTCTCCATGAACTGTTTTGTTTGACTATAGTTTTCACCATGCATGCAATGGAGGGACACATCCAAAGTATTTTCATACTGACATGTTTGGTGTATTGGAAGCAAGCATATCTTAGTCATAGATGTTTTTGTTCAGATACACTAATGTAAGTGGTGTTGTGGCAGTTACATGCTGGGGCTTGGGGTCTGAACTTATGGCTTGATGTCTGTGTCCTGGTTCTGAATGAAGCCAGTTAATCCTGCAGTGCCTTTTTAATATCCAACTCCTTGGGTTGCTTTAGATTTCAAATCATCCCAAATTTCTTGCATAATGTAGTTTGAAAAGTGTATTCAATGTCAGCAAGTTGCTAAATTGCTTGCCATCAGTTTGCTAGGCAGATAGTTGACCTTTTTTTGTTTTTCTTCATAATTTCCAAAATCCCTTTTTAGTTTCATTTGTGCAGGTTAGATTTCTACTGCATTTTACTGACTGTGTTTAGGTGCTTGTGTACAGAATCAGTTGTATTTGGCCCTAGTAAGAGGGAATTTTGGAGGAAAGTTTCTGGAAACATTTCTACTTTTTCCTCGTATTCATATCTCTGTAAGAAGTAATGTAACTGCTTTTCTTCAAAAATAAAAAGTTGTGATTTATAGTACATGCATTGCTTGTATCTTTGTGAAATTATCTACTTCTGTGAAAGACTGCAGTTGAAACAGAACTTTCACTGAGATCACTGAATGTTGAGCCTGCTTCAGGACTATGGAAATAAATATGGATGTATGGTTAAGTACTCAGCTGGAAAATGCTGAAGTCTGCATTCTCACACAGGTTTGCTGTCCCCCTTGTGGATACATTATGGTTTTTGAAATGCAGTATCTCCAGAAACTTTTAATACAAACTAAGTACACATGTTCAGTATTTGGTAATAGTTTATTCTTTCACGCTTGCTTAACTATTACTGTTTAGCAGTTCACGTGTATCCTCAGATTTTAGAAAGAAAGTTAATGTGTACTATCCTGTGCCTATAGGAGTGTGTGCTTATCAAAAGATGCTGGACATTGAAGGCTTGAAGTATAACTCTAATTTTGGCACTTTTTGACTTTGACTGGATGATCTCCGTTTCTAATGGGATAAATACCCTTCAAATATGTCCTTTTAATTACAAGTATATATACATATTTGCAGTTGCTATACTTAGCAGAAGAGCAGAAATAAAAACGTCTTTTCAGCAGCTAGAAACCTTCTTCAGTTATACTGACTGTACAACGTACAAATTACCTAAACTGCGCAGTTTCTTCCACTCTGGCAATTTTCATTGAAGATGTAGCTTATTATAATTAAGTTGAACATCCCTTTAATGATACAACTTTAGTGTTCCATTAGTACAGTTGTTGTGTTTTCATTGGGAGAAGATTTTGTTGGGGGTGGGGAGGTGGAAAAGAAAAAAAAAAAAAAGGAAGTTCTGTCTCCAGAGTTGGTGTTTTGCTCGGTTGCAAAAAAAGGCAACGTGTAAATTGAACAATCGGGACATTCCCTCTCCCAGACACATTAGAAAGCCCACGAGAGCATGTGTATTTTTTTTGTACACTTTAACAGATCCCTCAGCTGCTTCAAAAGCCTCTCCCCCATAATTTTGTGCAGCTAGACTGAAAGACTTGAGATTCGTGAGCATTCATCCTAGTTCAAACTGAAAACTACAAATATGAACTGGTTTTAAGCTAACAAAACTATGTGCGTTTTGCCTAGCTGCACACACATTTGCTTTAAGTCAGTGTTCATTAGCACCTTATCAGAAATGCATCCAACATGCACGGTACATGAAACTTAGAGCCATTAGAATCCCATTTCCTCCAGAATAAGGCTGTATAGGATTCCTAAATGCAGGCTCTGACATGCCAAAACTCAGCTTTCGGGCATCGTCTGTTTTGGTTCTATGGTAATTCAAAATGTTCCAACATTTTACAGTCTTGGGCCAAGTTTACTAACCCTCAAACTGGAAGAAATTCTTGGCAAAGACCAGTCCTGGAAAACTTCATCCTGAAAACAACTTCCAGAAAGCCATGAGCAAGTGAAACGGGGATGAAAATAGATATAATTATGCAAGTTAACTACTCCTGTGGTGTGCTTAGCACACTGATTCACAACCTTTTTTTTAGACTCAAGACATCCCTTGTTGGACTCAAGTTATTCCTCTATAACTTTGGTAAATTGAGTGGCTCCCCAGTTCAAAAATGAATTTATTTATTATAGTGCTTACCCTGTTGCTGGGGGCCAGGCAGCAGCCAACCAGGGAGGCAAGGCAGGGAGAGCTGAAGTCTGCCCTTTATTTTCTTATCTCTTCTCACACCTCACTTCCTGCAACATCCATCGAAGGATCTCTCAGGACTCCCTGGTTGAGGATCACTCACTTAGTGGTTGTCACAGATTCCTGTGCTGGGAAGTGTACAAGCTGAGTGAGAAGTAATAAAAAGGAGTAAGGAGGAATGAAAAGTGGATGGGGTCAGGAGTGATCTACATGCTCTTCACTCGGGCATCAGTAGTATAAACTTCACTCTTTCTCTGTGGAATTACCATAACCTGGCTTCATTTGCCTTGGCAGTCCAACAGTACCGTCTCTAATATCTGAAGACTCTGTTCTTTTTAAGTTAGATTTCCAGCTAGAAAGGCATCATGACAAAAGCATCCACGTGGTGGTAGCAATGTGCTGATTCTAATTGTTGCTTTCTTTTCAAGGGCCAGTTCTACAAGTCCTAACAACCAGTCCAATAAAATGAACAGCATTGTCTACCAGAAGCAGTTTCAGTCGGCAGCTGCTGCAGTGAGAGTGACACAGCCATTTCCTCCACAATTCGCACCCCAGGTGGGCAACTGGTGGCTTCCTAGAAGAAAACTTGCTGCTTTTTCTAAATTTAATCCCACAACATTTTAAGGCTCATGGGCCCTGTTATTTATGAGGGGTTACAAGTACAGTTCTGAAATTCAGTGAAGAATGTTTTAATCAAGCAAATGATTTCATATGAGGCACAATTTTTGTCTAAATATTAACTGTTAATGAAGGTTTTCTGGTGTGTCATGCATTTTAATTTTCAGTAGTTTTTATCCACCTAAAATCAAAGAAGTTAATAGTCCTAGTTTGCATAGATATAATACAGGCATTTGTTCTGCAGGCTTCCCCACACAGCTTTTAAAGCACCTAATTCCTGTACAAACTTAGGAACAAAAACAGGGGGGGGGGGCCATCAATGGCTGCCCTGCCCAGCCCCAGTGTCCCAGCCCTTTAAAAAAAAAAAAAAAAAAAAAACCACGACAACAAACAGATTCCTAGGCTCTTCTTGGAACTGTTGTTGTAAAAGGATCCATTGTACACGCGAATAATTCCAACAACCATCTTTAAAAGGTAAAACAGCCAGGTTATAACTGGATGTGGTTGAGCTTCCAGATAAATAGATATTGCAAATAAAAACATAAGATATGTCTGCATAGATTTGAAGTATTTGGCTTAAGGATTCATTTGATTTCTGGATTGATAAATGAGTTAATTTTATGCTAGTACCTGTAAACAGCCCATTTTACTAGTGATGTCTTTAGTTTTCAGCTTGCTAAAAGTGGTTGAACACCTTTTTTTTCCCCCCATTTTATATCATTTAGAGTTTTCAGTTGTTGGAGCAACTCTTTTTCTGGAATCCAAACATGGCCTCTCACAAAGAGAAATCCAGCTACACTCTTGACGTTAGTATAACTTTCTAGTAGGCACCATTTTCCTCTTCCTCCACTCCTCGATTGAGAAGCCAACATGCAATCTAATTGGCAATTTTCTAATGGCTAAATGTCTTCTTTTGTTGTTTTTCCCCCACTTAGATTTTCTCTCAGCCTAACCTGATCCCTCCATTGGTAAGAGCCCCACATACTAACACCTTCCCAGCACCTGTTCAGAGGCCACCAATGGCACTGGCTAGTCAGATGCCGCCTCAGATGACCACAGGCCTTATTAGCCACCCTCGTTTACAGCATGTGGCCAGAGGTCCTTGTGGATCGCTCTCTGGAGTCAGAGGCATTCAGGCCCAGGCTGGGGTGAAGGCTGAACAAAACGTGAAGGTTAGTATTTTGAACAGCCATGCTGTTAACAACAGTTCAGTCTTGACAGCTCGCAGGGCAGGAAGGCAAGAATTTCTATGAATCATGTCTTAAGATGCCTCTGGATCTTTAACCAGATATTTTAATGTCTAAACAAAGACTTCGCCCCCCTCCCAGTAGCACTTTTTTTTTAAGGAATTGCAACTATATAGTAACTGACAGCAAGCTCTAATATCGTTGGGGATTTTTTTTTTGTGGCCAGTGGTCATCACTTTAAAGAAATCTCAGATTTTTAATATTAGGAGACTGCATTTTTGGATGAGATAAAACCCAAGATCCTGAATAGCTGTGATCACTGAAGATACCCCATAACTTTTAGAGTAGCACTAAGCCCCAAACATACTGGCCAGCTTCTAAATTCAGTCCTGGCTAGTTTTCCCTGTAACTTTAAATAGCAGAAGCACTTCTCTTGTCCTGTTATAAACTGTTACACAGCTGACACATTTCATGCAAAAGGTTGTTGCTATTCCAACAGTATGTAGTGTGAAGTATGTACATAACAAAGCACTTTGGGACCCTTCAAGCTGAGGCAGGTGTGGTGGCTTTAGGAGCCTGTGTCGGGACACCATAAGCTTGTACTGTGATAAATTGTACTCATCTGCCAGTATTTTGCTTAATTGATTACCCAGCTCCTTAGAGTTTAGGTTAAAGGAACTCTTGCTCACTATATGTTGTTCCATGTCAAATACCTCAGGGTATAGAAGCAAGGTAGAAAAGGTTGGTTGGTTTGTAAGCAATTAGGCTTTGTGGAAAATGTTTCAGAATTTCAGTCCTTCACTTAAATATTTGTTTGTCAATTCGGTTAGGACTACAAATTAGCTGTAAACCTAACAAACAAGGGTGAATAGCATGTTGGTGTGACCTTGAATCAGGATTGTCACACATGAAATTTCCCTTTAAGACAGCAAACAAATTGTTTAATCTTGTTTCCTGTACCTCCTCCTGTGTTTTTCAAATAACTTCAGAAATAATTTATTACTTGTGAACAAAACATTTGAACTATATGGGCTGCTGATGTTGGCCTTGGGTCTGCAGAAGGATTCCAAGTTCCCACATTGCTGTGCTGAAAGCAGTGTATCACTGCTCAGGCACTATCTAGTGATGGCAACAAGGAACTAAGACTTTTGAGTGTTATTCCTGCTTTACATATCTGTAAAGTGGATAAAATGCCCACTTTGGGAAGACGGTGCTTCTAAATATTGTGCCAATGCCCGTCAGGGAGATGGGGTACAATAGAGGCGTTAGCTGCAGTGGGACAGTATAACTGTATTGGTATGTTGAGTTCCTAAAATATTCCCTCTGTTACAGTGTGGCCAGCTTCCAATGTTTTTTGCTTTTCTTATATAACCCTGCACAAAGCAGGTCAAGATGATACAGTGGCAAAATTATTGCTAGTATTGATGGAGCTTGTGCAACAAGTATAAGAATGTTGAATCCCAGTGTCATCAAGGCAGGAGGGTAGTGTACTCAACACTTACGTTAAGGGTGTACTCAACGCTTCTGCCGCATCGCCGCCCCTCCCATGGGCACTGCGGACTCCGCGAGACAAGGAGATGGGCCCCCGCACAGCCTGTTATGCCCCCGGCCTGTGGGGGCTTGGAGAAACCGGAAGTGCCACGGTGGGCACTTCCGGTTTCACTTCATCTTACAAGCCAGCATGCTGGCTTGTAAGATGCTGGTTAACAGAACTTTTACTGTATTTGAACCTGAGGAAAGCAGTGTCTTACAAGTGCCTTAAAAATAATAGGGACGAGCATGGCCATGCAGCATGTGGTGCCCCGGACCCATCTGCAGTACCATGCACAGCACATTCAGGTGTTTCCCTCACTGCTACCATACAGTGGAGAGGGGGAGTTGACTCCCGAAGATCCTGGGATAAAAAAAACCCACACAAAAAAAGGTGGGGCAGCACACATGGCTGCAATGCATGCCACCTAAAACTGGACCCTGGCCTGCCCGAGCCATACTCCAGCTGCCAACCAAGCTCCCAGCTGCAGAAGTGCCATGGCTGTAGTTTCCCTGCCCCCCAGGACCCCAGGTAAGGCTGCTGAGGCCGGCACAGTTGCTGACCCCAGCCTCCCCTGTCCCATCCATAGTAACCTGCTGCATGCCAGAGGGTGTGTCATACAGGCATTCCCCAGGGACAAATAGCAGTGGCACAAGATGTGCTGCTGCTGCTTGTCCTCAGGGAACCCAATGTCCATGCTCATCTGGACATGGCCATAGAGTTTAATCAAGATATTAATGGGATCTGAGTCAGTGTGTTTAGAATTAGCCGCCAGAAGGGGAAAGGAATTCTGAAATAGTGACAAGGAATGTATGGCAGGATTAGGCATAAGTCTGTTTTTAATGAGAAGAACTGTTGGGCATGGGAGTACCTGCAGAAGATACTAAAAATATAGCAAGATCTTCCCCTTTTGGAAAAGCCAGACCCGTAAACTTGATCATGCAATTTAAGAAGAAGAAGAAGAAGAGAGAGAGAGAGAACCTACAAGAAAAAAGTGGTTTTATCCCAATTCTTTCTTGTTTTTGTTTTTTGTTTTGTTTTTGTTTTGTTTTTAAAGGCAAAGCAAAGAGCAGAGGTTCTCCAGTCCACACAGCGATTCTTCTCCGATCAGCAACAACCGAGCAAACCAATAGGGGGCAAAGTGCAGAAAGTGGATGAAAATGGAAGCAAACCTACAGAAGCAATGGCGGACTCCTCTGGGGTCTGTCAGGAGAAAGTGGAAGAGAAACCCACCCCTGCACCTACTGCGACAACCAAACCTGTTAGAACTGGACCAATCAAACCTCAGGCAATTAAGACAGAAGAAACAAAATCTTAAAATCTGCGTGTTTGTGGGGAACGGGGGATAAGACCAGCAGCATGACCCTGTAGCTCAGAGGACAAGAAAGGTAGAAGCTATTGGCACTGACAGACATAAGTGGCTGCATGTCCAATAAAGCTTTTAGGCTCCTTGGGCTTGCAGCTTCTCTTAACAGCATGAAGTCTGGTTTTGGTAAGGTGTGCATGTGTGTATACACATGCACGTATGTGTATATTGGCATGTGCATCTGTATGTTATCCAAAATGCATAAGCACAGCAGCAAAGTAAGTGGCCAAAGAGCCATGTTCCTAGCTGGCAAAATGAATACTCTGTTCAGGCTCTATTGTTCTTTGGCTATTTACTTTTAAGCCGTGTGTATTGGAACATGCAGATCAGAAGTGCTGGACAGAGTAATGTGTGTTAATTTTTTTTTATATTTTTAGTGACTGAAGAGGCTGCTCTTGTATAATAAAAAAACAGGAAGTAATAAAATTAGCAAGTTGGAATAGCTTACCCTTTATCATTGGCATCCAACAAATACCATCAATTGTAATGTTGAAGTTTTATCAAATTTCCCTTCAAGGGCAGTTTTTGGTGGCTACTGCTTCAGTTTTGTGTGATGCTGTATTTAGATCACAGCATATAAGTGTTCCTTGGCGCACAGGTTATTTATTCTCTGTGCCCACACACACACACGCACACACCCCCTAGTTGTTCACCCCTTGGATTTACAGGCTAATTGCATTAATAGTTAGAT